GAGCAAGAAAAGACCTTCCATGGTCTGGTGCTGATTAAGTGATTATTGATATTATTAACAAAAATCAATTATCGTAAATTGTATATATATTTTCCTGGTACATAGGAAAAGAAAGAGTTAGTTTCAAATAATATTTATTCACTTAGGCTCTGGAAGGTTTTACCCCTTCATGGCAGGCCATTTTTTTTCTATTCGGCACTGTGCTACTTTACCTGACAATTGCAAGACTGTAGCCAAATGAAATTTATATAATTTCTTCACACAAATACACCCTGACATAGTGTAAGTCATTCAGGTGCCCATTAGAGGATTGTATTCCTGTGACAAGATAAAAATAAACCACGCGTACCAGGTTTTGTGATATTAGTCAACACATAGCAAAAGTTTCCTCTATGGAATTAATGTTATTTACCTTAGATAGCCAATCTTTGATAGATGGTGTATGACTGGTTTTCCAAGATCTAGGAATCCAAGGTTTTGCTGCATTAAATAGGTGTTTAACTAAGGAGCGCTTGTAATGATGGAGGGGTTGTGCGGAGATATGCAGAAGACAGCAGGCTGCATTTAATCTTACATCCGACTCCGTGATTTTCAAAATAAGATCACAAAATTTCTCCCAAAATTCAGTGATCAAGGGGCACTGCCACCAGACATGTATCCTTGTACCTTTGTCATGGCTGCATCTCAATTAGAGATCATTGGTTTGTGGGTACCAAGTGTGTAATCTATCAGCAGTGGCATACCATTGCGTAAGTATCTTGTAAGATCTTTCTTGGAGCTTCGTGATAATGGAGCATTTGTGTGATAGTATACATGCTTTTTCCCACTGAGCATTGGAAATATCCATGCTTAATGCTCTTTTCCATTTACATTTAAAGTGGGAATTTTGCCTATTTACAGATGATTGAAGCCATGAGCATACCAGAGAGGTAGTTTTCCTAACTTGGTTTGAGACAAAGTGCTTCAAATTGTGTGGGGGCCTTAGAAAAAAGAAGTTTATGTTTACGATTAGTAAGATAGTTGCACAATTGTAAGTACGTCCATTGAGGGAGTATATGACCTCAATGTGCATTTTGTAAGTCTTCTCTGGATTTCATCTCCCCTGTTTGTATGCAGAGAAAGGCTAATGGAGGGGAACTGTTTTCCATAAGGGTAATCAATCTGTTTTGTAAATCTGGTGCAAATTCTGAATTATTTGCAATTGGAGTAAGGGGGCCAGGGATTGAGGCCATATTATAACTAAGAGAGACTGTATGGAACACTTGCAAAGTGGTTCCAATAAGTGGGTGGCAATTTAGTGGGGTTGGATAGAAAGATTTCTGTATCCAAGGAAAGAATTGAAGTGGAAGTGGAGAGAAGGCAGTTTCGATTGCTATCCAGTCTTTGTTCTGGGTGTGACAGTGCCAGTCTATCACTCTTGTAAGGTGGGAAACAACAGTACCATTTGAAGTCAGGAAGACCCATCCCTCCAGCCTCTTTTGAGTGAGTAATTATACTGAATATTATACATGGCTTTTTATGAGCCCAGACAAATTGATGGTGGTTATGTTGTAAACTCCTAAGGAAAATAGGTGGGATTTTAATTGGGAGGGCATGCATGCAGTATAGTAATCTGGGTAATATAATCATTTTGACAATTGCAGCTTTTTTGAACCAAGAGAAATTCCTGGAATGTCACTTCTTGAGATCCAACTTGTAAGATTTTAATAGAGGGAAGACATTTTGGCTATATAGAACCTCCAAATTAGTAATGAGTAAGCCAAATACCTAGGTATTTAGGGCATTTTGCTCCCATTTAAAGGAGCAAATTTGATGTGTTGAGTTTAAGATCTCTGAAGGTAGGGATATTTTTCAGCGCTTCGGATTTGTTATATTTTATTTCTAGGTTTGAAATGTAGCTGAATTTCATAAACTCCTCTAGTAAATTTGGGATGGACATGTGTGGTTGTGTTTAGAAAAACAGAATATGCTGCAGTTTTAAATTCTCTCCCTGCTAACTTAAAGCCATGGACAGAAATATTTTGGTTTATTGTACGGATAGAGGGCTTTAAAGTTAAATAAAATGTAAAGGTGATAAAGGGCACCCTTGTCTAGTACCATTTTTGTATGTATAGCATCAAAGAAGGTTCCGTTGATTTTAATTTTCGCAGTGGGAGAGCAATAGAGAGTGGAGATACATGAAAGCATCTTATTTTGCAAACCAATATGTGTGCACGCTACTCAATCAAAGGCCTTCTCCGCATCCGCAGATAGGAGTAGGCCCTCTATTCTGTCTAGCCAGGAATTGTGAATTAGATTAGGCACCTTAGTGATATTGTCTCTCGCTTCTCTTTCAGGCATAAAGCCCACTTTTTCTGGGCCAGCAATCTTCGCTAAAAGAGGTTAAGGTGATTTGCCAAAATCTTGCCTAATAATTTTAAGTCAGTATTGAGAAGGGGAAATTGGCCTATAGTTTGAACATTCAGTTGGGTCTTTATTTGCCTTTGGGATTACTGTAATATGAGCTAGAAGAAAAGATTCAGGACTATCCAGAGAGTTGAAAGCCTGAAGGAGTGGCACTTTAAGAATATTTGCAAATGTTTTGTAGTACTGTATCTGGACTGGATCAGGTCTTTAATAGCAGAGCCGTGTGTTGGCCCCGCCCCCCTCTCTTCTCATTGACTTACTGGATGTGATTAACAGCAGTGAGAGCCAATGGTTGATCTCCAGGACCGCTCAAGTGGCTTGGTGCAGAAGGCTCAATCTGCTGTGTCAGTTGGGGTAGTAGGGCACTGCATTTCCCCTAACCCAGAGAAGGCTGGATGATGTACATGTACATGATCCAGCCTGCATGTGCTGTCCACCCGCAGTAAATGTACTGTGGGTGGGCAGCAAGTGGTGATACAAAAGTTGATTTTTCAAAGTTTGGTAAGGTAGAGGTAAAAGTAACTTTCTCCTATTCTACTGACACATTTAAATCATTAAAATAATTATTCTTCAGTTTATTTATGATTCATTTGGCAACATTGCATTGGCAAATTTTGAGACTGTCTATTCTTACTGAAATTAGACATGAATAAAACCTAATTTACACTTGCCCTTTTGGACAGTCAAATCATAGTAAATCATTATTATTATTATTTTAAATGCAATAATTTATTTTATTTTGGATTTATTGGTAGAAATCAAATGTTTTTTAATTTGATATTTAAAGTAAGTTTTTGACATATTCCATTTCCTATTCCTACATTTTTAAATGAAAAACTTTATCTGGAAATTATTTATAATAGTGTTCTTCACTTACTTCACTTTATTTTTTTTTTTATTGTTCAATCATACATGATGAGTTATATCAGCCAATAAACTAGGATGTGTGTTACCCATGCAGTGAGCAAGACTTTACACTGGTCAATTTAGGTGCAGGGCTGCTGTTAGAAACCCATACAGCCAAACTGAAAGGCCCCCCCCCTCCTAAAAAAAACCCCTGCAGTTTACTATGCTCCAATCATGAATGAACACAGTAAGTAATTGGTACTGATCACACATTGTGCTCATTCAGGAAAGGAAGTGGTAATTGTAATATGACAGATTTACCTGACCCTTCCTCACTCTCTATCCTGTAGGATCTTATTGTGTGTTTGCAGCTGCTGGTGGAAAGGAGAGGAGGGAAGCTGGCAGTACTGTAGGGGCACACAGGGGGGCATGGGCAGCAGGAGTAAATGTATGATGCACAGGTATGGTGATGGGTGCACCAGGGTGTAATTACTGTAACCCATCCTCTGTATGGCTGTCTCTGCAGCAGCTTAAATCCAGCGGGAGGGAGGGAGAGGAGAAGAAGCCAGCTTTCAGCTGCTGCAAAGACAACCATATGGGGGATTCCACTGCCGTACTGATCGCCCTCCCTGCCCACATCCGATTCACTCAACTGCCTGGGCCCCCTTGGCTGGCCTGGGCCCTGTACAAAAGGGCTGGTGTTACCCCCTTATTCACTGCCCTGTTTAGGTACATGTACTTTTGTTTGTTTCTTCAAAATACATTGTGCTTAGCAATACCTTTGTATGATCAGTTTCTTTCTCTGTGTTTGACACTTTTTTTTGAGCACTGGTCCGACACCAGCATCATAAACGTGAGTTCATTTGATCCACTACACTTCTTAGACCTTTCTTCATGCTGAATATACCATATGTAGGGCAACTCCGCACTCCTTCTCTAGAATCATGCAGGTTAAGAAGCATTAGGGATGCACCGATAACAATTTTTTCACAGTGAGTACGAGTATCGATACTGTTCCTCATGTACTCACCAATGCCTATTTTTTCATGCAGTGTGGTGCAATTTGAGCCCATACAAAATTAATGGGCTCAAGTCACACTGCAAAGAATATCACATGTGATTTGAACAGGAATTTTCAAAGGAGTCCTCTCCGAATCATATACAGTTTCCTGCACCATTCCTATGTGAACCCAGGCTGAAGTCAGTATGACAAGCCTGGGTTCACACAGGAGCAGTGAGGGGAAACCGCCTGTGATTAGGACAGGAATCACACCACATTCCTGTTCAAATCACATGTAATTCTTTGCAGTGCGAATTGAGCCCATTCATTTTGTATGGGCTCAAATTGCCGCACACCACACAAAAAAAGGTATCAGTTTTAGGTATCGGAGCAGTTGTATGAGTACAAGTACTTGTGCAAATGCTTAGTATCTGCACATGTTCTGAGTCACATAATCCAGAACAAATTTTTGACCCTAATAAGCATAATGCACTTTATTTTTATGTAATATGTTAGAGTAGACTAACTTGGCAACCATTTTTATTTTTTTTTTTTTTTAAAAGAAAATAACTTTTTTTAAAAGAAAACATTGGTTCAAATCAGGGGCGGACTGACAACTCATGGGGCCCCCGGGCAATAGGGGATCATGGGGCCCCTGTGTCCTTCCCAAACTCAAAAAAGCCTATGAAAAAGGTACCAGGGGGCATCTCATGGGGCCCCCTACTGACCCCGGGCCCTCGGGCAGTACCCGAGTTTCCAAATGGTCAGTCCGCCCCTGGTTATGTATTGTCTCTGTAGGATTCTACAAACTAAAAGTAAAAGCAGGGAATATAGTCCTTTTAACATAATTCACTTTGAGAAAGCCTCTTTCCACACAGTTCATCACTTCATTCAGCAGATACAATGGTATAGCAACCATCTATTTGGATCTGCAAAATAAGGTACAAAATATAAAAAAAACAAATTTGCAGTTTACTAAACAGGTGCAAAGTTAGAAGCAATGATACAAAACAGGAGCAATATGGCAAAAACATACATACACTGTAGAATAATGGAATACAGGCCATGAAAGCCACAATCTCTGTGTAACCTAAGGGTAACATGTGGTTGCATAGCATACAGCAGTCTCTAAAAGTCTCTACACTCACAGGCCACATTATTATGTACACCTTGCTAGTACCGAGTTGAACCCCCTTTGCCTTCAGAACTGCCTTAATTCTTTGAGTCAGAGATTCAACAAGGTGTTGGAAACATTCCTCAGAGATTTTGGTTGATATTGACATGCGTTACTATTGCCTTTCTATCATCTCAAACCAGTCTGTTCATTCCTCTCTGACCTCTGGCATCAACAAGGCATTTTCGTCCACACAACTGCCGATCACTGGATATTTTCTTCTTTGTAAACCCTAGAGATGGGTGTGCATGAAAATCTCAGTAGATCATCAGTTCTTGAAATACTCAGACAGCCCATCTAGCACCAACAACCATGCTACGTTCAATCACTTAAAGCAGTTGTAAAGACTCAAGGTTTTTTACCTTCATGCATTCTTTGCATGAAGGTGAAAAACCTTCTGTGTTCAGCAGTGCCCCCAACCCCCTCAATACTTACTTGAGCCCCATTGCAATCCAGCGATGTGCATGACAGCCTCGGCTGTCCCGGGTCTCTGCCTCCTCATTGCCCGAGACAGCAAGGGGAAGCCATTGGCTCCTGCTGCTGTTAACCAGAGCTAGTCAGTCAATGAGGAGAGAGAGGGGGTGGGGCCAAGCTGTGACTTCATGTGTGATGGGATACATGGAGCAGCGTCTCAGTTACACGCCTGCTCGGGTGCCCCCATAGCAAACTGCTTGCTATGAGGGCACCCGACAGAAAGGAGGAGCCAGGAGCACCAGCAAGGGACCCAAGAAGAGGCGGATCCAGCGTGCTCTGTGCAAAACCACTGCACAGAGCAGGTAAATATAACATGTTTGTTATTTTAAATAAATTAACCTTTAGTAGCCAAATTAACCTTTAATATCGCTTTAAATCCCCTTTCTTCCCCATTCTGATGCACGGTTCGAACTTCAGCAAATCGCCTTCACCATGCCTAGATGCCTAAATGCATTGAGGTGATGTAATTGGCTGATTAGCAATTTGTGTTACCAAGCAATTGAACAGGTGTGAATATAGCTCCCTACTTACATGTGGGTGCCCCACAGATGTGCATTTGCCTCAATGCCCTATGGGCTAACAAAAATGTATCCCTCCTGCCCAATTACTTAATATATCCCTAGGTTGGGAAAACAATATATATACTCTGCATACTCAAATAACCAATGTGCTAAGGAATATATAATACAAGCGTGACAATGTGCCATCAAACTAAGCATACAGTGCATTTGTATGCATGCAAAAAATAATAAAAAGTCCTAGTCAACGTGCAAACATTTGAAAGTTCCAATGTGCAAAAATATCCTCATCCACATCCAGTGTGAAAACTAGGTGATATAATGGTTAATCTTCTTATCCATAAAAAATCCTTTATGTTGAGTGCTCCAATTAGTGCTCCCCCTCCAGAGTTTTTCAGCTTTTTTATCGTTTTTGCATTAGCGTTTAGCCACGTTTTTTCACATTTGTGTTTTTTTTAGTGTTATTTTGCTGCTCAAAACAATTCCAAAAATGACGGTTTTACCGCGTTTTGCAGCGTTAGAGCGTTTTTACAGCTAAAAAGCTCCTCTAGAAACCCACTAGCTCTGGGAGTTTTTTTCCAGCCAAAAAATGCTGATTACAGTCTATGTGTGCATGGGCACATAGGATAACATGCTGGGGGGGTTATTAGCTGTAGAAAAAACCGTCAAAAGCCAAAAACACTCAGGTGTAAAAACGTCCCGTGTGCATGAGGACTTTTAGACAGCATCCCTCACAGTAGATTTCAGAGTAGCTTTGGTAACACAGGTGAACAGCTTGAGGGATCCAAGGACTAAGCAGCACTGGAACTGCAGTACTCTGATAGTAGCTGGATCTCTCAAAGAAGCATGTTGCTTTTAAGAAACTAAAACAAAAAACAACCTCAAAGGTCTTTGATAACGCCCTGGAGGAGGGGTGAAACACATCAGAGAGACGTACTTCCGGTTTCCTATGTTGAGTGTGTGACATCATATCCGGTGCTGCCAGTTTGGTTTACTTTCTGCAATCCGCTTTACACTGGGAAGTCTGTTGTGGAGGATTTTGCTAATCGGCGACTTAATTTAAGTTATAATGTGAGTAGATCGAGCACTATTTTGATCAATTAAAAGTCTTTGCAATATTGCACTATTGGTTCTCCTTTGTCTTCCTATATAACACATCGTTATGAGGGGAAATCCCTTTTGAAGTTGGATGTAAGGAAGCTCTTGTATATGGAGAAGGCTATGGAGAGGAAATTTTCCCTGGGAATTGGAGGATAATATTGTATCCATAAACTGCAATTTATTCTTATCTCTGGTGAGTGCGGAATACATCAGTATTCACAAGAAGGTGTGGATCCGTGGAGTCTTTTCTCTGTATTACACTTATCCTAAACATGTTTTTGGAGCACTATTTGTATGTTTAAAGGGGACTTTCTTTTTTTTTTTTTTTTTTCATTACATTTTGTATTTGGACACATATTATATATTTTTTTAATTTTGGTGGTTCTGGACATTTATTTTATAACCACAGAATTTATTATGATTGGTGTATAATTACTTTTGATTCATTTCATGTTGCATTTAAGATCTGGTTCGACTGCTTGCATGCCAGTTCTGACAGCGGCAGGCCTCTTACCTTGCTGCTGAGGGAAGGAAGCTGAAGGAATTTATACTCCTTGGGGATAGCAAGGCATCAAGGGAGTTGTGGAAAATAGAGTTAAAGGAGCCTGTGTCTGCATCTGAGCCTGGAGAGTAAATGGGCACTCCGCTACAGTAGCACTTGTGCTGCAGAAAATGCCACTGCATTGCTCTTACCTGTCAGGTCCATGCTGTTTCTATGTACCTTCCTAAATTGTGCTTCAGGGGTTGAGATCTGTTGAGGCTGTGGCGGGAACTGCTAGAGACAACAATGACATGGCAGGAAAATGGAAAAGCTGAAGCAGTGCTAGAAAAGTGATCCATTTGGAAGAAATCAAATTCCCCTTGCAATTTCTAATGCAAAAAGAAAATGCTTATAAAATTGTTCATGGGAAACAAAAACACTGCAAGTGGGAGTTTATTTTACTTTTATGTTGCTTTTTACTGCTGTTTTTTAGCGAAAGGTTCTTTTTATGGGTTGAGGTCTGTATGAATTAGAAGCTGAAAGGTTTAGTATACTCAAGTTCTTAGCGAAGTGATTGCTTTAGATTTCAGCCGTGGCACATCAAAAAGACTGTGGCCTACAGTGTATATTTTCTCTCTGCTGGGGGTGTAATAGATGAACAGCTGGAAAGGGACTTCTAAAGTGTGCTGACATTACACATATCTAACTGTATCCAATGACCTGGTCACTATAGTTCATTCAGAATGGATTCTAACTTGAAGCAGGTTTTAATCTGCTCAACTTTAAAAATAAAAAATAGAGGTAATTGTCTTATACATTGTCTTTTCTCATGCTTAATATGATGTCAAGCTTTCAAATACAGAAAATAGATAACAAAAACAATCTTTTTGGGGAGATTTTTTTAAATATTTTAAAAACAGAATTCTGGAGCTTTGCATGTGATGAGAAAATACATGCGATGTGTAATGTTTCAGTAGAGTCTACAAAAATGACAACGTTATATGTCAATATATTGTATATTGACATGTAACTTGACTAAGACATGTTTTTACAAACTTCCCTTTTAAAGTGGGATTAAGCTGCAAACCTTCTGGGTGCAGCCACCTCCCCCCTCAGCCCCCCCTTTATACTTACCTGAGCCCCATCTAGATCCAGCAATGTGCATGAGAGCAGCGCCTCTCCCGAATCTCTCACTCCTCATTGGCTCACACAGCAGCGGGCTCCTGCTGCTGTCAATTACAGCCAGTGAGCCAATAAAGAGAGAGCGGGGGACGGGGTCAAGCCACACTCAGTGTGTGTGAATGGACAATGTCCATTCACAGTAGTGCGGCTTAGGAGCGATCCTGCTCAAGTTCCTCCATAGCAAGAGGCTTGCTATTGGTGGCACCCGGCAGGGGGAGGAGTCAGGACTACCAGCGGGGGACCAAAAAAGAAGAGTATTGGGGCTGAACCATTGCACAGAGCAGGTAAGTATAACATGTTTGTCTTTTTTTATTATTGTAATCTTTATAATCCCTTAAAATGATGTGATTAGTTGGACAATTATTTTATACATAACATTTGTTGAATCATTTCTTTGTAGTGATGTGATCATTTCTTTGCCCATTTTTCAGTGTATACTTTTATTATGCAGTGTTTGTTTTGCCCTTTTCCAATATGGCTGCTATGCTCTCTGGGTACTGAGGATGAGGTCATCAGAGAGAGACTTGTGAAAAAGAGGGAAGTGTGGTTTCTCCGGCGAGAGAGAGAACTCAGACTGTAAGTGTAGCAGCCTCCCTTCACTAAGAAATGCAGAAAAGACTATTAATGCTTTAATGTTCCTGTTTTGAAGATACTTTATGTTTGATGGTTCATTGAATGTTCTTTCTTCAATACATGGACTTTAATATACACTGCTGTGTGGATTATCGTCTGTGGATGATACATTTCTCAGTTGGGATTTCACTTGTTATCCACAAGCCCCAATTGAGTGGAAGCACTAGCGCTTGTTAGAGATCTTGTCCTGATCACACAGATTATAAGGATTCTGCTCTTAAATACTATACAGTTGGCGCCATCATACCCCAGTAGCCGCAAAGAGTGTACAAATAGCGCTACATCTTCAAAAACAATCATCACACAGGATACAAAAGAAATGTTTGTAAAACATAACAAGGATCTT